CCCCTTTTCTGGGCGTCGTTCTTGGCCATTGGAATTGGTGTATCCTTCAATGGAAACGGTGGCTACATGACGTTGTTCTGCATCATGAAGTTGACAACCAATTGCAAGTCTGCCAACTTGTTTGCCTTTCCCTTCATCTTGCCATCCCTCTTCAGGCATCTATCTTTCCATACCTGGAGGTTGCTTTCGTTGTAATACTCGTCTCGATCTGCTTTCTTCAGTGCGTCTCTCTCTTGGCCAACATCTTTCTCCCCAAGATTCTGATCCCGTGTTCCTTCGTTATGTTTTTCTTCCTCCAAGTTTAGATCGGCATGCTCACCACTCCCACTAGGGATGTCGTCCCCGATGTTTTCTTTCTGCCCGTCGTTGGCCATCTATTCTCCTTACGTTCCCACAGATGGCCCCAAATTGTACGTATTGATTTTTGGCCACACAACCAAATGGGAAAACTCAGCTGAAGAGCACCGACAGAATAGATTAAGTCTGAACAACCTGTCATAGAAAGATAAGAATCCGGCAGTGGTTCGTCCACCTGGGGACACTCCGATGATCAAGTCAGTAATCAATATCTCTCAAAGATAGCAAATTGTGCTTAAACTCACAAGAAAGAACTTACCTTAGACCCACGAGGGTGTCTTGCCTTTATACCCAACAATGACCTAATCCCTGCTGAAGCCTAACTTCAATGGACTTAGGCTCAATACCTATCTTGGACTCTCAGCTAGATAGGAATAAACTCCCTAAGAGCTTTATCTTTATCCAGACTAAGATCATTCCCTATTCTAGGACTCTTGTCCCTTATCCACTCATCTCGGATTCTGGTATCCCCGCAGATAACCTCGGCCTAGCCGAGATCACCTCAGCTCATGACCAAGCCACGTGGCACCTCAGCTGACACTTCGGTGTCACCTTAGCCACGTGCTGTCATTCACAAAATATGTCCCCACAACACCCACAAAGACCCAATTGCAAATTGAAGAATAAAATATACCCATTTCACCGAAAACATCAAAATAAGGCTTTTAATTTCTAATTCACACATAAGTTTGTTAAATTCCTCATCAAATCGTTCTACTCCAGTATTTTCCATTAGGGTTTTGTACTACAATTGAAAATTTTGACCTACCAAAACATTTCCCTTCCCCCAATGTGAGATTCTATATGAAATTCAAAAAAATTGTAACCATATCTCAAAAAACAAAATTCCAAAAGCCAAGTAAAATTAAACTACAAGCAAACAGAGAACATAAATTAAAATAAAATAGAATAAAATAAAAAATTGTATGACAATGGAAGAACATGAAGAACTAAGATTCGTAAAACGCCATTGATTTCAAACGCATGAAGGGTTAGTGTAGAGAGAGAATGATCGTTGAAAGAGGTCAAATTCCGCACTTTTTTTAATTGCTTTGTAGGGAACTCTTTATGAGAATCTCTGTATAGAAAAGAAAATGGCCAAATCACAAGAAAAATAAAAATAAAAAAATAAATCTTAATAATTATTTTACATAATTCACATCTCGGGAAATTTTATGGGGAGTGTATTATATGTATTTTGGTTACAATCTTTGTGTTTTTTTATGATGACTTATTATATTGTTAGTTACGATACATCGTGATAATGATTATGATATTATTTTGAACTTGTATATGGTCCACACCGTTTTCGTATTTTCTTGTATAAATTCAAATCTTAATATAATAATGCATTTTAAAATTTGGTGACAATTAACGTGATATTTTTTGTTGAATTTTGAATAGAAATTAGTTTTAGAAATAATTTAGGAAAAATTTGAAACATAAAGGGTCAAATAAAAAAAAGATAAATTTTAAGGGCCAAAGTGGGAATTTACTCAATATAAAATAAATTTTGAATTTTATTAATTTTAATTTTAATTTTTTTATTTATTTTCAATTTAAACAATCTATTTATTTTTGTTAAGTTAAATTGATGGAAACATATTGCTTTTTAGTTATCAAACTCAATGTAGATGTACAAAAAAAATTTAAAATACTAGTTTTATTGAGTTAATAACTAAAATATATTTTCTCATACATTTTTACTTAACAAAAATAGGTAAATATTTTAGATTGAAAGTAAATCAAGAAATTATGATTTAAATTGACAAAATAAAATTTGTATTTATTATAAACTTCAAAATCTGAATTTTTATTTATTTATTTGTAGTTTCTCCGAAGAAAAAAAAAACTGAAGTTTTCAAAATTAGGCAAACAATCTGAATATTTAGAATGTCATGGTGGATGCCGAGATAGTTGTAGACGTAGTGTAGAAAGAAGAGAAGTGTTCAAAACACAAGGGCCAAATTCCTCAGTATTGGTAATAAGACTGGTCGTGTTTTGGGAGTCGAATTTGTTGCTCTCGATAAGTTGAACGATCTCCTGTGGGAATCGACGAACTAGGTTGAAATCTGAGTCAGAAGACATGGCTGAGAAAGTTAGGATTTCTTGATCTCAGAAGAAGAGGAAAAGTTCGCAAGAGAAAAGAAATAACGAAGAGGGAGAATTTGAAAAAACTTTAAGTACCTATGTGTGGGGCCCAAAATAAATAAATAAAATAAGATAGCTGAAATAAGGTCTAATCTTTGATGGGCTTGGGAAGTGCTAAGTGGCCCAAAGAAGTTAAAAAATATTGGGCCCAGAATTCCAGACCAATATCATTCAAGACAAAAGATTTTCTTTTTACCTTGAATGAAGGGGGCATCGTTGGTAGTGATGACATGGAAAGGATGGCGTGGCAAGGGTGGCTAAAATAGTTGACATAACATAAAGTGGGATTGAAAAGAGAAAGCTATGAAAGATGATAACTAAGGATTTAGAAAGAAATCAAAAAATGGTTCCTAAATGGGGGGATAAACATGAAGAGAGACAGAAAATCAAGGAAGATCAAAATTAAGAGCCAAGCCAGGAGTCAACTATAAAAAGAAGCTAGAATAAAGATCAAAGGATGAATCATCAATCATCAACTATCAAACACACTCATGCAGAGTCATTTAGAAGTAGTTCTAAATTAGCCATTTTAAGAGCAGATTAAACAAATAGCTTTTTCAACCCCTCATTTCTCTTCTTTCTGTCGATTGTTGTATTTATTCAATTTTTTGTTCTTGTTTAGGTTCTTGTAACTAGTGACAAGTGACAATTTATTCGAATTAATACATATTCCATTATGTTCAATTTCTTCTTTACTTAATTACCTCCAAAGAAGTCCTTAATCTGTTTAAGGCATAGAACTCAACTACAAAGTCTAATCATTTTTATATTAATTTAAAATCGGTTGAAACTTGTTGATCAATCATTGTCGATTGAGTCTAAACTAAATTTTTGCTAACACAAACTCAATGTAGAAGTACAAAAAATATTTAAAATACTAGTTTTTATTGAGTTAATAACTAAAATATATTTTCTCAAACATTTTTACTTAACAAAATAGATAAAAGTTTAGATTGAAAGTAAAATAAGAAATTATGATTTAAATTGACAAAATAAAAATTTTATTTATTATAAACTTTAAACTTTGAATTTTCATTTATTGATTTATTTGTAATTTCTCCGAAGCAAAAAAAAAAAATCTAAAGTTTTCAAAATTAGGCAAACAATCTCAATATTTAGAATGTCACGGTGGATGCAAAGATCGATGTAGACGTAGCGTAGAAAGAAGAAACACCACATTATAAATTAACATTATTCTTGATAGTAGGTATTTGCCACGGATATGCTTAAGCCCAACCTGCGGATAAGCCCATTACCTTCTATATGGGCCTTCTCGAACTCTAATGAAAAAAATCAAAACCAAAAAAAAAAAAAATCATACTAGAATTTGCCTCAAATCCAAACAAATGAAGTATAAGCCGTACTTTATTCTAACATTTAAAAAAAAAAAAAAATTTATCAAAGAATTTAAATTGACCTACTATGTCATTCTGCAAAAGATTCTATACCATGTATACAATGACATATAATACAAATCATATATATATTAGTCAAATCCAATCATTTTGGATCCTCTTAAATTTGAATATGAGACTTTCAAAATTGGCATGGCTTCTATCCAGTCCTTAATCGGACTGAACTGTGCTTAACTTCTTAATGAGACTTTTGGAGCCTCTTAAATTTGAATATAGTAAAACTCTCGTGTTTAACTTCTTAACCACGGGTTAGTACAATTTGACTTTGATGATATAAAATTAATTTTCAGTTCTTTTATTCCCTTCAACTATTTCTTATCCCTGATTTTTCCAATATCTTAAAAGAGAATAAATACTTGTTCTTAGATTAGTAATAAAGTTACAATAATGATACATCTCTTTAAAATTAGAGCTTTAATTGAACTCTAGTGAGGTGAAAAATCAGAAAAAACAAAAACAAAAAAAGATAAGACCAAAACATCATATCATATGAGTCCTACATACACATTAGAACTATTAGAACTTACAAATTAGAGTTTCAAAATATTTTTCATAAAGTAATCTCATTAGGAATAAAACGTCATTTGTGCAAATCATGAAAACAATCGTTTTACACGTGGAATAAAATTACATATTTATAACCTACAATTTATAAATTTCCTTTAAAAGGATTTTCCAATTCAGTGTCAAGATGTAGTTATGGAAAGTACACATATACAAATATTAATAAGGATAGATAATAATCAAAAGATTATGGAAAGTGTGCATAATTATATATTCAGAAAAGTTTTTCTTTTTTTTTTTTGGATATATATATATATATATATATTAAGGAACTAGAATTTAAGCTTAGATTTATATTCAAATAGTTGATGTATATGGTTCAGATTTAATTCTTTGGTGGTAAAACCTACGTCTAAAATCAATCTCAACCGCAGAGATATATTCAAAAAGTTATGTTGATTTAATCTCAACCACAAATTTTTAAAATTAGTTTCAATAAAAAATTCTTGGTGTGTAAAACTGCTTTTACTATAATGCCTTTCTCCTAAAACCCCCATCCCACATAAATCCAAGTGTTTTTGGCTAACTGAAATAAGCTAAATACAGCTCTCTCTCTCTCTCTCTCTCCATAGCCTGGTAACCCACCATTGAAGCAGTTGAAGTTTGGCAGCTCAATCACAATGAACAAAAGATTGATCAAAAAGCTTCACATAGATTCCAAAACTATCTAAACACAACCAAGCAATGGCATATATCTCACCTTCAAAGCAATGAAAGACTGCTTTTGAAGAAAGTTCCAATCCAACCCATGGGAAGGAGAGGAGGGGCCAACCTTCCTTCCTTTCTTTCTTTTCTTTTCTTTTGAGTAATCCCCAAGCCTTACAATCTCTTTATTCTCCATATTCAACAAGCCTTATCCAACAAAGACACTAGCTATTTCCATGGCCAAAAAGCATTATGGGTTTGTGCTAATCTTGTCTATCATCATAGCCCTTGGTGTTGTCTCCTTTGCCTTTTGCATTGCCTCTGAGTTCAAAAGAACTAAGGTAACAACAACATTGTTTGTCCTTTTTTCTATCATTTTCAAATCACAGAAATAGTCTCTTGACACGTAAAATAAGGCTGTATACATCTTATCCTCCCAAACCTCATAGTGGCGAAAGTCTCATACACTGGGACTTTCTTTTTTATTTTCTTTCATTTTTTCCCCTCATAGTTCATTTTTTTTGGGTGTTTTTGCAGAGGAAGGATCTGAAGTTAGATGGGAAGTTGTGTTTTTTGCCGGGAAGTCATGCATTTGAATATGGAATTGCAGCTTTGATCTGCCTGTTTGTTGCTCAGATCACCGGAAACTTGATTATCTGCTGGAATTTTTGTTCAGGGGAGAAGACAACTGGCTGCAAGGCTAAAAGCCCAACCAAGGCTTTCACTTTTCTGTTACTTTCATGGTAGGTGACCTCTCTCTCTCTCTCTCACATGTATGCATATTCTTGGGTTACAATTATGGATGGGTTTTACATTCATTGTAAGGTAAACATCAAGTTGTTGAATCTAGATAGGTCAGACTCATTGCACACACCAAACTAATCAGAACATCAGTGGTTGAATTTAGATAGGTCATAGACTCATTGCACACACCAAACTAATCAAACCATCATAGCCCACCTATGTATGCTCAACTTGATTTTTGAGTACTCATAACAACTACCCATTATTATCAATTTCAAGTCACTTTTTTTGTTTTTTTTGTTTTGTGTGTGTGTGAATTTGGGGATGCTACCATTTGCCATAGCTTGACAACAAAGATTATTTTTACCCTAATACTTGTAACACATAATTAAAACATAGAATGGGTTATAATAAAGAATAATAATAGATTGAGATTTATTCTAAATGTAGATCTCTTCATATCTGGATTTAATCACAACCTTCTATTACATTTTTTTGTGAACCATTATGTGATTTATTCTATGTACCTATCATTATTATTATTCTTATTTGTAGACTACATAGGTAGAACCCTAGCACGTCAAGCAATTAGATATACCTCAAGAATTTAGACTAGATCCTCTATCCCGATCCCCTTATCTCTCTGTTTGGAATATCGAATCTATATACGATCAAGTCCAACGGCACTCATTGTTTGATAGAGATGCGGTATGAGACAAGAAAATAAAAGAATGGAGACATCGCATCCCATGTGCAATTTTTTAAGAACAAATTATATATGTAGGATTAGGAAAGAAATTAATCACCCCTGAGATTGACGACAGCTAGGACTAGGAAAGCAATTAATTGCGAAGGGAAACATGGTCCGAGACAAACAATAATACAAACATGTTTTGGAAACAATGTTGTTGCAGGTTTAGCTTTGGAATTGCAATTGCATTAATCAGTGCAGCCACAAGTATGAACACAAGGCAGCCCTACGGGGAAGGATGGTTAGACGGCGAGTGCTACATAGTCAAAGATGGAGTGTACATTGGCTCTGCAATTCTAGTTTTTGTTTCCATAGGTTTGATTATTGTTTCAGACATTATGACAATTAGAAAGAGCCAAGTTGAGGAAGAATACAAGGTTCATTCACAATTTGGATGAAGAAAATTGACTAGGAAGTACATGACAGAATTATCATAGAAACAGAGAAAGAAACAGGGGCCTAATATCTTCAAGCCAAAGATGGGGATTGGATGAGGGCAAGGCAGTACCTCCACCACACATAACTGCACCCATTGAGGACGTGTTGAATCTTTTTTAGAAAATTGTACAGAATGTAGTGCTGACATTACTATATTCATTGTGAGCATCATTCAAGTTGGGTTTAGCAATTGTTCCCAGCATCTTTTTCAAAAAGATTGAATTAGTGAGGGGCTAGCCGGGAAGGCTCGATCAGGATCTGTTTTAGTTTTATTTTTTTAAGTCTTTTTTTAATTATTTATGGGATAAAGTTTTTAAAAGAAGTTATGCATTTGGAAAATGGAAAAACTTTTTTTTTTTTGGTGTGTTATTAAAAGTTTAAGCAATTTATTTTTTTTATTTTATTTTATTTTTTTTTTTTTTGTCTCTGTTATTTTAATATATGGGCAAATTACATATACACCCCTCGAGGTTTGGTTAAATTACAGATACCCCCTGAGGTTTCGGAAATTACATCCCGCCCCCTGAGGTTTGTATTTTCATAACAATTTGCCCCCTGAGGTTTATATTTCATAACAAATTACCCCCTAATTTCTTATGCAAATATAGCATTCAGGGGGGAATTCGTAATTTCTCAAACCTCAGGGGGCATCTGTAATTTAGTCAAACCTCGAGGGGTGTATATGTAATTTGCCCAATAAATTAATAAAAAAATATTAAAAAATTCAATAAAGATAAAAAAAAAATTGTTTTAAAAATGTATTTTTTAACCGTTGTTAAACAAACGTAAATTTTGTCATCATTTAAAAAGTCATAATCAAATTATCTAATTTTTTTAAGGCAAAAGTAAATAAAAAAATTGTAACCAAAGAAGAGTTGAGTATAATACAGTTATATTTTAAGTACTTTCACGTCTTGTTTCTAATTTTTTAGGTGAACAAAAAGAAAATATCAATTCAGTGAAAGTTTTAATCAAAAAAGAGATAGATTACAAATACACTCCTAAGGTTTGCTTAAAATATAAATTGTTCTCTGTGATTTAAAAAATTACAAATATTTCCTTGTCAGAATTTTTTATTTAACAAAATTAACTAAAAAATGAAATTCATAATTACTCTCTTACACAATAATAAAATTATCTAAATTATTAATTGAAATATATTTCTAATATCATTAAAAACTGTTAATTGACTTAATAATTTCTTAATGAAGGGAGCGATCTGTTATGAAATTAAAAATCTCAGGGGGTGGAATGTAATTTTCAAAACTATATCGTATTTTAATCAATCTTAAGGGGTGTATTTATAATTTACCCTAAAAAATTTCATTTAATGAATTTTATAAACTTATAATAATTTTTTAAAAATACGACTAAATGGAAATTTCTCCCAAAAAAACAATCTCAACCCAATAAAATCTGCAAAAGTTTAAAGATTCTTTTATGTTGATGTTAAAGGGACTTGTAGAGAATATTTATCAACAAAAATAAAAAAAAATAAAAAAAAGGGACTTGTAGAGAATAATTGAATGATACACTTCCTTCCGAATGTCAACTGTCAAAATCAGATTATAATTTTGAAAAACCAAACAAAGAAAAAAAAGGAAAGAAGCTTCTTTTGTGTATATTCCTCCCAAGATATTCATAGCGTCTGATGTGTACATATACCTTGCAATTTAGTCCCCATCATCAGAAATGTTTGTCTTAAAGAAAAGTATTCATAACTTTTAAGACAAGTATTCATAACTTTCTGTAAAATAGGTTACACCTAACATTAATTTAATCTATACATTTTATAATTTGAATATCTTTTTTTTTTAGGGGAGAGGCTTCTAGCTTTGCCAACTAGAGAAGTTGTTGGACTCTTGTAAGCTCACCACGGGATTCATCTTGATAATTTGACTTGCTTATATTGTAAATCTAGAAGAGAAGATTATATTTTACCATTATGACCTCAAATTTGTTTTGGAACAAATCGTCTTAAATTCTTCAATTGGTGGTCTTCAGGTGTTCAAAACTTGGCGATGAACTTATTTATGTAGAACAAAAATTTGATATTTCAAGTCATGTTACTTAGTCGCTTTCCTAAAGACAATATTTACACCCACTAAAAGATGTGCAAGGGGTTATAACAAATTTGCCTCCAAGATACAATGAAGCTTGATCTAAAGATGAAGTCTATCGGCGTCTGCACTAATGACAATAAATCAGAATACTCTTGATATAATCAAGAAAATCAAGACACCAATAATCAAATTGCAGAACTTGATTACCAGTAAGAAAAGCAGAAATTTGCTTAAAAAACTCTTAATCGAAAAATCTAAATCAAGAGGGAGAGAGAGAATTGCAGGAACGCCTTCTGAATTTTTAGATAGAATGAAATGGCTGAGTTCGCAACCTATTTATAGGCCTTGATGGATATGATCGAATGGTCATGTCCCTTGATCGCATCCGATCAGATCTGACTGTTGGATTGACGATCTATAGTGCAAATTATTCTCACACCAAATAGCTGCCTTGACTGATCACACCTGATCATGATCGGGTGCCATCTCATCCGCACGATCGCGCACATTTCTAATCAACGGTTATGATCAAACCGCTCTAGATCAGACACGTAATCGTTCAATTGATTGGTTGACTCATCGCCAACGGACGCCACGTCACTGCCACGTGGAGTTGATTGTATTCCACATCACCTATGCCACGTTGAATCCATGTCATCGCTCCAACCTGTTTGAGCTAAGTGCAAAGTGCGCCATCAAACGCCACACAACCCACTGCTCACGCCACAAGCGTGCACGTGTGCGTATGCGGATGGTGCAAAGCACTATCCTTGCGGTGTGGATGCATAGCTTTTACCTCACAATTCTATATTCAAAGTAATATTCCATGTAGCACTTTATTAAGTGTTCCATGTTTTCCTTTCTTTTCGATATGGAACAAAGTCCCCAAGCTTATTTCAAGCTTTCCAAATAAATATAAGAAAGGTTTTGAAAACACCCAAAAATTAAATTATACATTTTAAAAACTATTTTGAAAATTCCCCAACATTCCCTCACCATTTTCAAAATACTACATGATGACTTTTGGTTCACTTGGCAGCCTTATGCATAGGTGAAGATATCTTACGATTTGAATCATTCAGTTACTGAAGACATCTCAAAGTTAATCAAGATGGCATAGTAGACTTGTCTTCGAACTAGCGATCTTATGCGACTAACCAGACATGTCTCACGCACAGTACAAGTTACCTCAAGTATTCAAACAAATCAACATATGGATTGGCCTTGTGCCTATATCCTGTTTCATGAGCACTCATTGGAAGTAGCACCACCTCCTACGCTCACATAGGTAAGCTTACTAAGAGTACCCCTGTAATTTACAGTACCCTAACAACCCAGTTGTAAGCTTATTAAGAGTTTGCTAACTCATCCTCTTATTTCCACATTACAGGTACCAAGTACTTCAACCTTGGGATAAAAATGAAATAAAATTAAGTGCTTATAATCACGACATATAGTGTGCTTGGGCTCATTGAACTCAAGACTTGATGTTTCTTGATGTTTCTTCAAGCGTTGAGTCAAGTTTCCACCAGGAATGATTATGTTAAGTGCGCTTAAGACCGATCCCCTTTGATGTTTTCTACACCAAATCCCTTGCAAGTCCCTTTGTTAAGGAGTCAGCCAAGTTTTCACTTGACTTTACATAACTAATGGTAATCACACCTTCTGTGATTAACTGCCTGACATAGCTACGTCTTAGTCCTATATGCTTGGACTTTCCATTATGGACGTGGCTATAGGCCCATGATAGAGTTGCTTCACTATCACAATGCAAAGATATTGGTGACATAGGTTTTGGCCATATCTTAATCTCTAACAAGAGATTCCTTAGCCACTTTGCCTATTTGCTACAAGAATCCAATGCTACAAACTCAGACGCCATGGTTGAGTCTGTTATGCATGTTTGCATCTTAGAACCCCAGGTGACAGCTCCTTTTCCAAGAGTAAAAATGCAACCACTCGTGGATGAGTGATCTTCATGGTCAGTTATGCAACTGGAATTTGTGAATCCTTCTAACACTGCTGTATAGCCATTATAGACTATTCCATAGCCTATTGTTTTCCTCAAGTACCTAAGTACTCGGTTAATAGCATGCCAATGCACACAATTGAGATTACTAGTGTATTTACTAAGTTTTCCCACTGCAAATGCAATATCAGGTCTATTGCAAGTCATGGCATACATCAGGCTACCTATCACTCTTGAATATTCTAGCTGATCAATAGCTCTTCCAGTATTAGGATACAATTTCAAATTTGAAAAGGTGTAGACATGGGTGTACAATTATATTGATTAAATTTTTTAAGAATTTTCTCAATATAGTGCGATTAGGTAAAAATCAAACTATTGTCCTCTCATTTGATCTTAATACCCAGAATTACGTCAGCCAAGCCCATATCTTTCATACTAAAGCTAGATGACAAGAAACTTTTAGTACTTTCAATGACATCACTGTCAATTCCAAAAATAAGCATGTCATTTACATATAGGCATATGATTACACCTCTATTGCCAGTAAACTTACTGTACACACACTTATCAGGTTCATGTATCCTAAAACCATTTGACACTATTACTTTGTCAAATTTTTGATGCCACTATTTTGGAGCTTGTTTCAGTCCATATAATAACTTCACGAGTTTACACACTTTGTGTTCTTGACCCTGTACAACAAATCCTTCCGGTTGTTGCATGTAGATTTCCTCATCTAACTCTCTATTTAGGAAAGCAATCTTAACATCCATTTGATGAATTTCAAGCTTGTAGATTGATGCTAAGGCAATCAACACTCGAATGGTGGCAATCTTGGCCACCGGAGCATATGTATCAAAATAATCGATACCCTCATTTTCAGTAAAACCCTTAGCAACTAATCTTGCTTTTAACTTGTCAATTGTGCTATTAACTTTCATTTTCCTTTTGAAAATCCATTTACAACCAATTGGTTTGGATCCAGATGGCAAATCAGCAAGTATCCAGGTATTGTTACCCATGATAGAATCCATCTCATCACTTATTGCTTCTTTCCAGAAAGCAACATCTTGAGACTTCATAGCTTCCTCAAAGGTTAATGGATCTGAATCCATATTCAAAGAAATCATTGTTTGCTTGCAATAAGCTTTTCTAGTTCCTTCTACAAGGTAAACAATGAAATCAAGGCCAAATGACTTCTCAATCTTGGCCCTCTTACTCCTCCTTAGCTCAATACGCTCATTAGGTTCATTAGGCTCAATGAGTTCATGTCGTTCACTTTCCTCTGTAGATATCAAAGGAGTTGATTCATTTCCTTGATT